CTACCCCCTTCCCTTCAGTTTTCACTTCACAAACCATGTTGGCAAGTAAACCAAGCGTTTGCCTCTCGGGTTTTTTTCACAGCACATTGTTATCAGACCAACGTTAGGCTAAGTCGGGGTGCAGTAAGCACCAAAATAAGATTTTTTTCACTTTAGCAGCCTCTCTGCAAGACCTCAGTATTTCTTGTGGTGTTTAGAAGCAGATGCATTTCACTTAGTTCTGGCTCCACATCATTTTAAGCTTTAAGGCTATTTCTCTTTGTCACCACCATAATCTTAACTTGCGGCAAGCATGGAAAAGCAGCGGTACAAACCGGACTTTTTGAAACCTGCGGATGACAACCTGTCTTTTCCCTTTCTCCTCTGGACAACCAAAGCTGGAGACACCGTCCAGAACTTAGAGCACCAGAAAAATCCCAAATGGGCTGTGTACAAAATCAGTCTGGCCCATCTAAAACCAAAATGCTTCTATGTTTAAATTGACAGGTAGTAGAAAAAACTTCAGCCTGCCTAGTCTGATTTTTACACAGACCTTCTCTGTTGAAGTTTAGTGTCAGATTCCACGCGGACCAAAGCCGTACCACTGGCCCTTTACTACGGTTGTTCCCTGTAACGTAACTGAAGTGGTCTCGATTTCCCTTTACAGTTCACAGAACATTTATCTCTGAAAGGCAGCAGAAGTCAAACTAAGCAATAGCGCTTCATTCTGAAGGTTGCATAGAGACTGAAGAGATTTATACAACGAATGTTATTTTTTTTAAAAAAACAAATCAAAACACACCTGTCTGGCACTACTGAACAGCTCAAATGTGGGTGACCAAAAACATAACCAAAATATTTATAGGCAATCAACTCTGAGTTTGTTAGCAACAGCAATACTGTACATTTTTACATTATTATCAAATACATAATTCAGGAGTTACAAAATAAGATCATGCATTACCACTAAATCTCATACAAGCTTGGATTGGTTTCATTCCAAGAATCTGAAACAGACAGAAGCATTTTTTTTATGAATAAACTCAAACTCCAGATTCTTGTTTTAGCTTTCGCAGATTCGATATAATCTTGTTACAAGAAAGCCTGTACAAGTTTGCTCAAAGTGTTAAAATAACTACTGAACAAAAAAAGTGAGCAAAGTGATCAGAAAAAGGGAGCTAAATGATTCACTCTTTAAAAGGCAGCTTTAGAGCCAGAGGTGCCCTTACAGCCGGGGGGTATGATCCCAACAGAGATGACAGACCCTCTTCAACGTGCTCCAGGCCATTGCCTGGCCCCAGAGCACTTGTGGTGGAGCATTCGGTTTAAAGAAGGGAGCTGAGCAAATAGCATCCCAATCCCGGTTCAGTTCAGCGTAACGTACACGTACGCTCCCCAGCGCTGCTGAAAGATCCCCGCTCCCTCCGCAGCCCGAAGGATGGATAAGCTGTGGGCGATGCTCCCACCTCGAGGTTTTCCTTCCAGTTCTGGAAGCGACCGGGAAGAAGAGACAGAGGGGTGGAAAGCAGCATCCGACCCAACATTTCAGGAGTCTTCAGCTTTGCGGCTCGTGCCTCTCGTCAGTAGTATTTATGCCTCTTCAAAGAGAGCAGCCTTAAGAGATCAGATCATCGGTCTCCCTAGTTTCACTGCATTTACGTATGGCACGAGATTGGTTTTCTAAGGAGTAACTTGTGGCAACAACATTTTTTCCTAAAAAAGTGTAACAGCACAAAAAAATTCATAGCAGCATTTTACACAATTTGTGTTAAAAAAGTAGAAGTTAACCATTTGTGTATCGAGTAACAAAAGGTTTAAATTACATTTATTTTCCATTTTACACTCACTATTTACTAGTTGGACTATTTACAAAGGTTCAAATGTTGTGTAAGAGAATGAGCTTTACCCAGAATAAACTTCACCTGTGAGGTAACGATCTACTACCTCAACCTCTGTTTTGGCTGGCTATAGAGGAGGTACAGTTGGGTTATAGATCCTAGGAAAAAAATTCAAAATTAGGATGTTCATATGAATTGGATCGTGTACTTGTAGAAGAAACCATACATACACACATACACAGAGAGTAATCCTACGGTAAAAACATTAAGACCGACAGTGGATTTAGTTTTTGTCATTTTGGCCAAAAAAGAGGAGAAAATAATTTAAGAACAGGGAAGCTGGTAGCTGTACCTCATGTATTCCAACTGAGTTTTTATCAAGAGGCCAGCTTTTAATTCAAGGAGCTAAAGCAATTGATGTAAAACCAGTAAAACTGAAGTCTTTAAGAATTAACTTAAAATTGGGGCCTTCAGCACACCTTCTGAATAACACAAAGGAGTATTATTTCTCTGCTAGTGTACATAAGCATCAACCCCCCTCTCCCCAAGCCCAGGAGGCAGCACGACGAGCTCCTGCTGGGCAAGGCACCTGTGTAATGGAAGGGTGCCCCGTGGGTACATCGTACTTCCCTCTGAACATTTTCAAATTACAAGAGGCTGCAGGAACACTACCTAAGATGCTTCTCCTTGAAGACCAGAAGTTGTTTGGAACCTGCGGTATAATTACACCGTGAACAAAACACGTTCTCAAAATTCTAAAAGGAAAAAAAATAATAATAATATGGGGAAGAGGGGTCTACAATGTGTTTTGTGTAAGTCTTCTGGCGGTTCCGCAGCTGACCAAGTGATGACATGAAAGTACAGCAGATAGTTTTGGTAGTTGCAAGACAAATTTACTGTTCTTGCTCTAGTTATACATTACAGGAAGATTGCATAGGACAAGGCAACCTTTTGGGCAACTGAGGCAAGCAGTGCGTAGTGTCGGTATCTCTTGCTCTCGACGGGCTGAACGCGGGTCAGTGCTTGGCTGTCGTCACACTTACGCCTCTCTGCTTCCCACGCCCCCGTTTACCCAAGTAAAACGGTAAGAGTTCAGCCACCTTAAGAGCTCAGCCCGTCATCTCTGGATACCAAGTAAGAGTTTCGTATAAGACTATTTGCTCAAGCTTTGCTCTAAGCAAGTACTCTTGCGGAACTACTGCCTAAAACTGACATGTCTTAAATAAGCTGAACACCACTGAGATGCATATTTTATTTTAGCAGATATGGAAATTTATATACTCAAGTTTCTTCTTTTTTTTCCCTAAAAAAATGGCCTATTAAGGCATCTTAAAAAAAATCCATATATGGCTTTGGTTTGCTGAAATATTATTTTACATTGTTAAAAAGGAAAACACACGTTCAAATAAATCTGACATTATGACACATTCACATATTTCACTTCGAATCGACAATTATACAGATGCCTACATGTGATCACAGACGTCTCCCCTTGTGATGACATGAATAAAAAGGTAATCCAAATGTTTATCTCACAGTAGAGGGCAACCCAGAAGTCTGTGCAGAAGTGACATACAAGGAGTTATTATCTGGAAGAGGGGGAACCACAGAGTTTCCATTAGTGGGTGAACAGCTCAGTTTCAGTTTTTCCAAGTACTCTGCATGAACGGGCTTGTGACACTGAAGGACCTTGATGGCATCTTCTACTTTAAACCATTCTCTTTTCCTTCCTGAATGAGTATAATCCACAAAGAAAAACAGTTACAAATTTGTAACAGCACCATTTGTCGCTACCTGATCATTCCCTTTTTCTCATTTCTTTTACTTCAGAAGTTCAAGGTCTCAGGCAGAAGCCAAGAGAGTGGAAAGACCTTGAAAGAACTGAGGGACACAAGAGATTCACTCAAGCTTACTGAAATGCAGTTCCTAACAAAGCCTTTCAGATAACTCTCTTGAAGCAGCTACCAGGCAGAAGCTCATCTGACTGTTCAATGCTCCAAAAGCCACATCTAGTCTTTACAGAAAAGGATTTTATTATTATTCAAATGACTTAATACTGCCTGCCTACATTGTCATGCCTAGCAGAAAACCAATCTGAAAAATGAACATGCGTGCATGAAGTTACAGAAGAATGGCGTGGTCTGATTTAGAAAGCGGCGTTCCATACTCAAAATGTCTCCGTGTAGAGCGTTACTCATCAGGTTAGCCCTAAGTTTTAAAAACCCATAATATACCTTATACCACAGATATGTTTAGATAAGGTCTAAGACTTATCTTAGTAAGATAGGACTAAGACCATCCTTCTTATACAAGTCCTTTCAAGTTGGAGACCTCTGAAAAGACTTCTAGACAAGGTCAAGGATACCATTGCTAAAAGTGGGATTAATTCTGTTTTTCACTTGGTTTTACAGCATTACAGGTACTATGCTTGAACATGATGAAGACATCTCTAAGGCATTAAGACGCTGCTTAGGCCGAGCATCCCCTGCCAGCGGCGCTGCCCGGGAGGCAGCTGGCAGCGGTCCCAGCACCGGATGCTGCCCTTGGCACCGAGCAGAAACAGACCCGTACCGGCCTCACGGGCCCTGTACAGTTCCAGGGACAAAACACCCCCAACCAAACCCTCAGAACAATCCTAACCCCTGCCAATATTGATCTTCTTAAGTAACGGACCACCGATCAGGCTATAGAGGGCACCTGACATGGGATTAACAGCAAAGTGACAGTATTGGAAACAAAACATTCTCTCTCCACCTGAAAAACGGAGCAGAGGTTTGAATCTGCCCTTACAGTTACGTGCCATTTGCTGACAGATCAAGAGAGTTAAGTTTATGAATGTTAACTCTCCTAAAGCACCACCTCCTGAAAAGGACAAAGCATAACCAATCAAGGTAGGACATCTTTTTTTTTATACAAATTCTTAGTCAATTCAAATTTCAGCTGGACAAATACACTGAATGAACTAAGATTTTTTTTTTTTTTAAACAAGGACAAAACCAGTTAATGTTTACCTAATTAAATACCAAGTGGAAGACCCATACAACATCACAAAGGATGTTAATCTAACTAAACGGCATGACAGTGGTATCTGTACGACATAGGTGTATCTATAGGAATAGATACCTCCTATGCTCAGCACTATCACTACTGAAAAATTAAGCTAAAGTGAAAGTAAATACTAATGGGTTCCCCCCCCGCCTGCCACCAGGAGAATCAGGGGAAAAAGAACCTCAAAATCTTCCAAAGATCTCCCCCCAAAGACATATTCAAAATCACCCTAGAGTAGCAGACAGCAAAACATTCTACTTTAAGGAAAAAATAATTTGTCAGTATCTTTGGCCTTTAAAAAAAAATAAAATTAAGAGCTGTATCAGCAACTAATAAGGAAGTTTACTCCATCCTAGGACTTAGAATACCCTAATAAATATAATGTCCCTAGTTATACACATACAAAAGTGTGGAAGAACAGCATCACAATTTCCAGTCATTTCAGTTTACAGAACAGAACTAGTGGTGTCCGTCCATCCCCGCCCCCCCACTCCCCCGAATTATATGAATTTCCTCAGAAAGTGAAAAAGTTTGCTTAATACATATCGCGTGAGGACAGAGAATGGGTTTACCTATATTAACGGAATCCTCCCAGTCTTCCAGTATTTCCGTCACAGTAAGAACATAAACATATGTCCTATGCTTCCGATCCTGGTTCTGCTTGAATATTAGAAGTAGACATTTTAATTTGCAGCAAAAAAATAACTTACAGACTTACCACAACTATAAGATTAGAAATTACTTACCTCTGAAGGATAATTGCCAGCAAAACCTGGCTTTTATTTTCACTAAACACACATCTGTACCGAGTAGGCCAAAAAGGATGGGCAAACGGAAGTTTTATTTGAAGCAACAGCTATTCTATTTTACTAGGCTAAAAAAACCCAATACAGAACACAACCCAAGCAAATTTGAAGATCGTGAAGTTGGGATCAAACTATATTCTTGGTCATCTCATTTAATACCAGTAGTTGTCCACTAGTACTGCCCATTCCTTATCTTTTATCTATGTTGTAAGGTATCACAGTAGAGCGCATTTGCTAAAACTGTTTCCACAACTCATGCTCCTAGATGAAAGGTTAAAAAAACCCTTTGCAAGATGGAACCGCTGCACCACGTGGCCAGATCATCTACGCAACGCTGGCTATAGAGTTTCCCTCAGTAAGCCAGGCAAATTAAATAGCCTATGTTTGCAGTCATGACAAATGCAAAAATCATTACCATCTGTTCACTTGACAGGTTTGCCATGGTCATGGCACGAACCACCTATTTAGAAAGCACGTGTTTTTTCAACGAGGCAAGTCAAAATAGGGACTGACAGAGGTAGCCAGCCCAGGGCAGGGTCGCTGTGCTGCAGGCAGCCCACGCCGCGTCTGCGGGGACATTCCCCTCCCTGCTAGCTCCAAGGCAGGCGGGCAGCACGATGTTAGAGGTCCTACCCAACCAACCAAACCATCCTGCCCCTTGGAAAAAAAAAACCTAAGCTCCTAGAAAACCCAGACCATCTACAATTACAACTATATTAAGAACCAAGAGATGTTATGCCCTAGCTCGCCTTACAGATGGTTTTATCTTTGTGCCAATAACCATTCCTACTTAACTCTGTTTCACTACAAGCTTAACATAAACTGTTGTGCTTTACTAGGAAATAAAAATACTCCAAGACAGTTCTTTGTCATCGTCACTATTAAATGGCATACATACACCTATAACATGTATCCTTTCTGGCTGTAGTTCTAGAATAGGAGGACTCAGCAGCAACATCATTTCCATCTTCTCTTTCCATCCCCAGGTCCCCTCGATGGTACCAACAATTGTGGGGCTGTGTTGCAAAACTGAAGTAGGGTCTGGATTTAAGTTAGAAATAACCTAGAAAAGTGCCACTCAACACAGATTTTTCTCTGCCCTGGTCTAGATGGTGGTAGATGGCTTCAGAAGAACCTAACAGCTGAATTACCACAGAATCCTCATCCCTTGCAGCCCCTGTTTTAAGGCAGTAAGATGACAGGTATCCTGTCTTTTTTTGGTCTGAGCTGGAAAATACAAAGTACTTCTGTAGACTAACCAGCAGAGTTAAAACACAGACAAGTTTTTAATGTGTAGGACCGTCCAGGTACTCATAAACCCAAAACAAATCAGAAAAAGGGCAAGCGATACTAACTACAAACAGGAACTTGTCTCATTTTGTCATGGTCTCCATACTTCACGATGGGAAGACCTTTAGCACTGTATCAACTAGTCATACGTGACCAAGTAGTATTTCACATAGGAAATGTCTATCAGGAATACGCTGCCTCTGAAAGTTGGTTTTATAATTAAACTGTGAAGATTCATACCTAGGTACTAGACCAAGGGACTTCCATTCTCACCCACCATACAGCACAACATCGTAACGCTGGATGTATTATGATCTGACATTTCTACAGGCCACTCCTGTCTAGAACCTGAGCAGAAGTGGGCAACACCAACGCTGAAAGAGAATTATATTTAGCATGCATCCTTGTGCTATTTTTACATGTGATGTTTACACTACAAAATACAAGTTTTGAACTATGTAACGTTGCTAAAGGTTAGATTTATCTGTTATCCAAACCCTTAGCTCTTTTACTGAATCAAAGCCCTAATGCAATACTTTATATAAGGACCTATCAATTTAGGTGTGTGAAAGCTGACAAGTTACTTCAGCAAAATCTAATCGGAGAGGAAAAGTCAAAATAGTGCCCCAAAAAGGCACATGTGATATTTCAGAAATCCTAGATCTATCAATGTTGGTTTCACTTTTTTTTTAACTTCTAGATGTTGTCCAACTACTAATTTAATCTTTCCAGGAAAGTTTCGTTGTCCAAGTACTAATTTAATCTTTCCAGGAAAGTTTCAAGTACTTTGAAATCCTCCTATTAAAATCTTTACACATCATGTAACAACTGAAGGAATCACCTGTCTAATGTAGCATTTCCAGTAGCACTGCAAAACTACAGGCAGGCAATACTTAAGGACTTAAGTCTGATGTTGTAGTTTATCACTAACAACAACAAAAAAAAAAACCCACAAAAACAAAACAGATAAAAACATTGTTTTTAAAAGGTAAAAGAAATAGCTCACCTCAAATATCCCAAGCAGTCTGCCTAGCTTTCCCTTTACTCCAGCCTACAAAACAAACATCCTACATCAGCATACTCCTCCTTATTAGGGTTATTTAAGCAAGTGTTTTAATCTAAGTTTTAATTAGACAGTGCTGCACTGCTTCTGGAGTTTCTAGTTTTAGAGTACTTAAAGAGTATTAGAGCACAAAAGCTTGTCCTTATGAGTGGATCAAAGAATGCATAAATCTTTCAAGTTTTCCATCCAGACCAAAATACTGGTTTACTTACCATGTTCTTTATGGACTGTATTTTATTTAAGAGAGAAATAACATCCAATACTGAAGTAATCCAGGGAAGTAGATAGGACAAGAGGTATAATTTAAAGTAGTACACTAAGAAATCTAGAGAAGGAATCATCAAAACTTCGTTGCTATTTTACACAGAAGTCCAAGTCTTCAAAAATACAACAACAAATTAAACTGTAGGTTACTGGGTGGATCTTGCAGAGTAATGACTTCATGTCCACTAGCTTTCATATAACAGTGTAGCTTTTGGCATGTAAGCTTAAAAGCAAATTTATATCCCCAAGTCTCTACAAACAATTTAATTTTTTTTTCTAGTTAGTAACATTACAAAAGGCTTTAAAGTCAGAGTTTTACTCCAACTTTTTAAAACAACCTCTGTGTGTATCAGCCTGTGCTTAGTGATTTTTTATCAATACAGTTAAGGTGGTTGTTATATTCTACTACGACTCTAGGGTTGTTTTTTCCCCCAAAGTAATACAGAACGCCTCTTCCAACAGACGCAGTTTATGATCATCCCTTTATTCTAAACAAATCTCAGTCCATACGCCTGAGACAAAAGCGTATGTAGTCTACTGGTAGACAAAACCATATTTAGGGGTTTTTTTTTGTCTTGTTGTATAACCAATATTTAAAATAGTGCTTCCTAGCGCTAAGATGAAATTTTCTAGCCTTCAGTCTTTGTTTCCAGCTTTAACCACAGAAAGTACTGATGTCTTATATCTTGACATAAAAGGACCATATGGATCTTAATTACATTTTAATGAGCAGCTCTGACAGACAACTGGGCAGGCTTTAGCATTAAGTCTAGTCAAGATCTTACAAGTGAAAGTTTTCTGCGTCTTTCTTTTGAAGAAAGCAGATGGCTGGTGTTTTTTATTAAGCAGTTTTGACGAAGGAAGTCTGACGGCAGCCTGTGCAACTCGACGGGCATTTTGCCTATCTAGAGCAAGAGCTAGACCTAAAGGTAATGCCCAAGGACGTACAATGTTCTTCTGGTTGTCTGCTGTGGTGACAGAGCTCATGACGCTGAAATACCGAACTGGACCCGCTGGATAAGTGATTAGGCAGCACGTTAATTATGAAAGCGGCAGGCCCTGATTTTGGTCTGAAAGGGTCAGCAAGGCCACAACACCCACTAAAGGCTGCTTGTGCCTTACACTGGGTAATGAAAAAACATTTATTAGCCTAAAGGAACACACGCTGAAGAAATGTTTAAGTTTTACTGATCGCTTCTAATTTCCTCAGTATTACAGTATCTCATAAAAAAGAGAAGCAGAACCAAAAAGGCTACGAACTTAGGCTTCTGTCCCCAATTTTTGCCTTTCTTCGCATGCAGCACTATCTAGGAATCACTATATCCTTTAAGATTTCTACTTTGTGGCAAAGTGAACAACTAAAGAAAGCCATTTCCCATCATCCTACTCCATCAAAAGTAACAAGAACCTGTGGGATTAGTTTTTTTCAATACTTCAGGTGTCCAAGCACGCAGCTTTAGCTGGACACGTTTTGTCATTTCTTCCCTAAAGTTGCAGCAAAACCCAAGATTTTTTTAATATTCTTAAAGATATGGCTTCCGAGCATGACAGAGAGCCCAGTCCAGACTCGGTAGGTTTCTCAAATACAAAGAAAAGTTTTTCCAAGTACCAAGGAACTGCTCTAAAGGGGACTATGCTCCACCAGAGAGAGGAAAAAACAACTCCCCCAAACCAAAAAACTTTCAAGATTTTATAACTCCTTAAGAAGTCCTATCCGAGGCCTTATTTATACATTACAAAGATTTTTTTAAAGGCAGGTCTATGGCAAGAGGACTGCTGAAAGACAAGGAAACCCATTAACTGATACCCAACACACGGCACAAACACCACCACCAGGTAAGTTTACCAATACTGAACAGCTTTCATAAAGAAGTTTTTTCAACTTATTAGTACCCCAGAGTCCCAATGTGAATTTATCATCAATGTTAATCTAAGTGGAATTTACTTAACAGCTTCTTTGTTCTCCCTCCGAGCAAATCAGTGGTTTTAACAACCACCGCTGAGTAATTCTGAATGAAACAATTAGAAGCACTCCATTACATTAAGTGTAAAAATTCCCCAAAGCTTATAATGAAGCTTTTGTGCAACCAGATGTTGCTATGTAAATGTGATTACTGTCACTGATGTCTAGTTACTCTCTAGGCAAAGATATGTTCTTCCAAAATGTAGCATCATTCCTGAAGACAGTAGCATCTTTTGAAAACCTCTATACCCAGAAGTAAAAAAAGGTAATAATTAGAGTCCCATGATTTTTCTCTGGAAGTAATCTATCCCACTGAATCATCTTCATAGTTTAAAAAGTACCAGCAACTTGACAGTGATTTTTTTTTTTCCACGTGCTTTTGCTAACAAAAATATTTTCTCCAAGTTCTTATCTTAATGTACTTCCCTCAAATGTGTCAAAGCTAAGTGCTAGAGGACCAAGAAATGCTTCAGGTTTTTCCCCAGAAAGTCCAAGAAAGTTCCTACTTCCCCAGTTGTGAGCTTCTAACCCAATACACTGGTTAAGGTCTAGACTTTGAACTATTTTGTCTCTAATAAAAATATCTTTCTTTGGCCTTTATGTATCCATGACTATTAAAATACGGTTCTTTAAGGAAACAGAACCCTACAGGCTCCTGTAAGCATGAAAGACTTCTCAACTTTGGGAGAAAAGCCTGAAAAAACCTAGCCTTTCTTTTGCCAGCCAAGCTGTTGAATTAAGTGCTACATGCCTGCCCGAACAATTCCCTAAGGAAGTCTATGAGCACTGTGTAGTCACGGTGTCAAATCCGAATTTAAGCATATATTTTAGTACTAGTCTAAACCCAAGCACAAGAGGGAAAACTGCCCACCCCACACTGCCATCAGATCTCCCTTTGGTTTCCTGTAGATGGAGCAAGAGCCATGCGGCACTTAAATGTGTAGGCTAACAGTCTAGCAGGGCAGAAAGTTGCTCAAAATCTGACAGATTTAAGAGTTATTTTTAACTGTGGGATCTGTTGGGTATTACTTGAACAGCTACGCTCCTGAAGGCACGGTGCAAGACTATTCCTGCCCTTTCTTGCATGCTCTTATAAAACACAAAGGGTTTCACTGTACCTTCCACAATCTTTCAGCTGAAAGGGTGTTTTATTTATTTTAAAAAGTATCTACCTAGTCCTAGTCCGTAACATCCAACCCTTTTTCAACTATTAGACACTCACGGACGCAGACTCCTCTATTTCCTGCAAGAGGCCTTATAAGAGTAGCATTACTGCCATTTCCACTGTTGCAGCGGATTAACTTTCAGGATCAGCCTCTTCTTCTCAAAAGCTATATTCACACAGGTCTGGGAAGAATTGCATATTTTTTGGTAGGCATTTCAATATACTACTAAGTGCAAACAAAGCAGGAGTCTCAGGCTTTGGTGACATGGAGGAAGAAAAGGGAGTGGGAGGATGCTCCTTCCATTTAAGAGGCTGGACATCATCAGCTTGCCACCCTTATTATTTGTGCCGTATTTCTCTTTGAACATAGCATGTGCAAAGAACTCTTATCTCCATCTTTCATGCTATACAATTAGACTAGGCTCCAAAGTCATGAATAGAGTAGCTCCTCACCTAGATGAGGTTTACTACCTTTCTGGGATTGCTTTACACTAACTTCATTTTGGTATTCTACTTTCAGGTTTGTAAAAACTTAATGTACCTAAGGAACTTGACAGGTTATCTTAATTACTGTAACCTGTGAAATGGCAGGCAAACTTAAAAGAAGCATACTAAACACGTAGTAGAGGCAAAAACTCAAATCACTAACAAGAACGGAACTTAAGATTAAAAAAAATCTGGAGTCACGCACACAGGCAGACTATGGAACAATTACAGTGCATACAGATTTGACTACAAAACTCTTTCTCTGGGTTTTAAAACAAAGATTTTAAATACACTACTGTTGGTGTGAAAGTGAGGGATATTTAGAGCCCATGGGCTATCATATTGTGAGCTATTAGCCCCCTACCATTAAGAAATGCCATTTAACCCCCACTACCAATTTCTCCATTTTAATAAATTAATGGAAACCGATGCTTAGTTTGTGCATGCCCAAATACTGAAGAAACACAGCTCAAACCAGTGCCATGGTGTGCTTCCTTTGAAGTTTATTCATTCACAAAACTCTTTTAACAGTTCACTTCACTGCACTCTAACCAGCTTGCCAGGTGACATTGACCTTAGTATAAAAATAGAAAGGACATCCATCTCTAGAAAGGTTAGTTTGAGTTTCCATGGCTCAAGTCAAAACCCTGAATACCACTCTGGCTTTTCTTTAAAAACGGCACTTTGCAGTCTCGTGGCAGCGCACAAGATTCAGCCTGTAACTTAAAAATATTTTACTTTAAGGCATAAGTTTTAAAACTTTCATCAGCTACACAAGCTATCAAACCCTGGAAACTCTGAAGCTGCAGAACAAGCATCACCAAATGATTTTTGCTTATTAAAGACCCCAGCCTTTGAAAAACCTTTATGCATTCGCAAGTACAGCTCAGAGCTGAACATAGCTGGCAGTTTGTGTCTTACTCCAGAGCATCTTTTAAAAAAATATAAAAAAGAGCATAGCCACTGTAGTGTAAGCGAATAAAAATTGGTTTACCTTCTGAGCAAAATGCCCCAGTGCTAGCACCACTCAAGAGCTTTATATTTGCTGGGTTCTCTTCTTTACTTTTAGAAAGTGTCCCTCTCGTGGTGTATAAACACTGATGATGTTGGCATTTTGAGTCATTTGCAACATGCAGCTTTCCATCATGAAGCCCCTTACTGAAATTTTGATGACAACACATCTAAACAGCTACAGAACAGCTTAACATACCATACGCTGAAAGGTAATCTAAGCATTTGCCTAAAGCAGATGTTTACACATAGCAGGTTTTAAGATTCACTTCGTGTGATAGCATTTGAACAAAATACGATCAAAGGAGAGCTCTGTGTATGAGTGAAGGAGGCTGATCTCCCTCTTCAGGATTCAAAACAGCCCAGGGCTGCTATTGCAACTCTTGACCAGAACCATCATGACGCATGAGAAAGTCTTTTGCTTTGCCCTGAGAAAGAAATGAGGGCAAGAACAAAACTGAGCTACGGAAGGACTGCTTCACATCATAACAGCAGGTACTCCTCTATTTTTCACTTTCTGCTTTGCCTTTTTTTTTTGCCTGCTCATGTGAAAGCATATCCAAAAAGGAAAAGATCATTCAGAAGTAACTAACATTTTGGTATCTGTATGAACCAGAGAAGTTCACAGTGTCTGGGCAGTGTGTGCACTCTGATTGGGCTTTAATATTAACAGAGAAATTTGTACAAAGTTTATACTGTACGATGTATCATCCAGTAATATTCTATACGCATTCCTTAGCTATCCCAGCTTAACCTTCTCCAACACTCACGGCCCATGCACTGCAGCACTGCGGAAATTTGCAAGCAGAGCTCCAGCAAAGCCAGGATTTGGAAGCGTTCCTCAATATTCTCAGGGCATAACCATGTCTAGTAGAAAAGTAGTGGTCAGCCCCCAGCTCACACCTCTCACCGCTATACTACTTTGCCGTGAAGTCAGCCCGAGAGCTTTGTGTGTAGCACTGCATTCCCTGCAAGCTGAGAAGCCAGCCAGACCGCTCCGGCACCTTTCAATAGTTGGTCAAATCCCCATAGCAACTTTGATGACATACTAACTGCAGACAGGTCTTCCTTCAATATGATCCATTCTTCATCACCAAAGAAAAAAAACCCAAACATATGATTACAGTTCAGTCAGCTCCAGTTTGACACGGAGATGTGATTTTACTATCTCTCATCTTGGACTGTGCCTTAGGTCAGATCAGTGATTAAAACTACCAGTGTTCACAAGAACACTGAGCCAGTGGGTCCTGTGCTTTTTAATCCCACCCATCAACTCGTGACAGTGGGAAGTGCCAGGACCTTCCCCAGAGGTGCTACTACTGCCTAGGAGCCTAAATCTTTGCTGACTCAGTCTTAGAATCCTAAATCTTTGCTCCTTTCCAACAGACTGCCTTGTGGATGCCTCCTTTACTTTTACAAATACACAAGAACTTCTCTGTGTATGTCTTGTCCAGCTCAGAAACTGGCTCCCCCAGCAAAACTGGACACAGACAGAAAGCCTAGAATAACTTTCTAACAGTGAAGCTTGTTTATGCTTGAACCTTGCTGCGTGAAGGCTGCTAAGAGCACTGAATACTGAACTAGTCTGTTCCCCACATCCGAGGGGAGGAGAGTCACTGAATCATGGTTCACAGAAGATCTCATTTTGACACCAAATAGCAGGCAGCATTTGGTGCAAGTTGCAGCTACATCAAGTTCCCGAGCCTCTACAACCCAGAATCAGTCTTAAGGGTAGGCAAGCTAAACCACTAGATAGCACAGTTAAAAAAAATCATAGATACTAACTAGCAAGAATATTAGGGTGTTTTGTGAATAGTAGTACTCAAACTGGGATAAGAAAACTCTTTAAGACTAGCAGAAATCCTGTAGTTCACTCACTTGCCAGGACACATCCTCTTTCTGCAAAACCTTGTACCTTCTATTTAAGAAGTATAATATAAAGAGTTAAGAGCTGATCTGTGGTCACTTACACATTGTGTAATTTCTAGTTACGTCAAGTGACTCTGATTTTTCTTGAAGTTTTATTTGGCTTACAGTCCTGGCTGTTAGATACTCAAGTAGCATTTAACATTCTTAAACAGTTTGCCTAGGAAAAATAAACAGCAAGTTAAAACCCAGAATTTTGAATTTGAAATTTAAGTGCCATACTAGAGTGGGAAACTGCATTAATTCAAGACTTAAAGCTCTGTTTTGCCTACGGGCAGGGGCAGAGATAGCAAGGCAGACTACACCTATGGTGCCTTCTTTATAGATAAACAGCCTTAAATGTCCTTAACAAGGCGTTTTTCTTGTTGAATTCTCAACTGCTCAGATACATCAGTTTCTAATCCGTTTAGCTTGGAATCTCCTCAAAGGTCTGTTTACTTCTCTTTCTTCTGTAGCTACACATTAATGGTTAGTTCACCTTCAGTCTGTTCTAGAAGAGCTGCGAGTCAAACATTTTCTGCACAAATGCAGAAATGCTACACTACTATAATATGTCACTTGGCATATAGTCACAGTTCCATTTCCAGTAAGTGTTTATAAAGGCAAACAGAAATTTAGCTATGAAACGAAAGGGTGCTGGGAAGCAAGCTAATTAGGTTCACCTCACCACGCTATACCCCAATTCTAACACACAAAAACGCCGTTCTTTGCATTTCACAACCATGGAAGCATCCTGGATAAAGGAGGTACAGTTCCCTCTTTCTTCCTGGTTCTCATATGAAGACAGCAGCAGCAGAAAGAAGCTGGATTTTTGTTTCGTTTTTGTTACCTCTTCATACACCTCTCTGACGGCTGCTCCTCCTGGTTCTTCTTCTGGTTCCATTCCTCCACCTGGTACAATCCACTGATCTGGGTATCGGCTACTGCTTACCAACAGCACCTACAAATAATTACAAACGACTGTTAAATATAGCTCACAAGTCATGAATCTTGGTATTATCTACTTTTTCAGCAATGTGCTTATTCACCTAGCCAGATGGATTATAGACTTTAGAAATGAAACATAATAGGCAACCAGGAATTTTAAGTAGTACAAAAAAAAAAAAGAGGTGCAATTATAACATCCAGTCTAACACAACTAAGTCAAGACAATGTCACTGTAATCTCCTTGCACAAACACTTTGATCAGATGCTTAGACACAATGTGAAAAATACACAATACAATATGCACAGGAATGAAGATGTACAACAAAGATCTAGTAACAATATTCTCCAATACCCAGTAAGTCTTAGGGTCACACAGACAGTAAAGCATGAAAATTAAGACATTTTCAACACACAGAAGTTAAACTAATTCTTCGGGAATGGCATCTTCTGGCTAAAAAAAAAAAAAAGGACTTCTGAAACAATTTCTAAATTTTAGTCTTAGACAAGCTTCAAGTTACTGAAGTGTTATGTTAGCACAGCATGCTTACAATATTGCATAACTAAATTATAAGGAGAGTATTTCATTGGCCCTTGTCCAATTTGGTTTCTTCTAACATTTCTTTAAGAGGAAAAACTGCAACGCATTGAATTTTAAATGATTTCTAAGTTAAACAACAATTTTTTTCCAACACCCTTTAATTTCACTTAATTTGACTCTAACCTGGCCATATAATTGATATATACCAATTTAAACCCCACTGCCTATAAGGACCTGTCCGTCATCATGTTCAGAGCTGAGAAGATCTTGGCCACCTGTCCAACAAACCAGGATGCCTCATATTTGGAGTAATTTGCAGTAGAAGTCAATGAAACTAAGACCTTGACTCAGGACCCCATGGAAATAAACAGTTTAACTTCTATTTGAGACCCGTCCTGATTAGTAGGACATACTCAATCACCGGTGTAGTAACACACTTTGCATTCTAGGCAATACTTACACAAGCCCTACCCTGAAGTCAAAGGACAATTGTGGGGAGCAAAGGGACAGGGTCAGTGCTCGAATCTTTAAAAGCAATTAAAAGACTAGCAACAAGAACCTCAGTCTAAAGGCTAAAGTATTGACCGGTGCCAGATGACGAAGCAACAGCCCAGTCCTCACCAACTACCTTTATGGTCTTTAAACTCATCTCCTCTTGGATTAAGTCGGAAAACGATTGCCCGAAGAGGGCAACAGCAAGACGCTTATCACTCATACTACGTCCCTTTGGCACTCATGGAAATAGGGCGTACGTTCACCTCCAGGAACTGGGGAGCGTAATTCAGATGATGGCATACCTTTGTGAGTGCAACAACGTGTCAGCATACTAAGGTGCACCTAGAAGAGCCTTATCTGACAGATATTTTCTTGTTGAAACGTTTATTTTATTTGCAGGCAAGATTTGTCCTACTCTGAAGTATTCTCCACTGTACTAACTTCCCCCAAATTTTTCCTATGCTAAGTAAGGAAGACAGCAGAGACCTCTTTTAGTATAGAATCATTCTCAGCATCTGATCTAAATGTTCACATTTTCAGTCAACTCTTTTATTCAGTTATCTAAAAACCTAGAAATAGTCAGCAAAAGCAACAAGGTTAGACACAAATGCGTCTCAATTACCCTTACAACCAAAGGTTTTAGTTTCCTAGGATCCTTTGATATTAAGGAAAGCTTCCCAGAGGGCACACAGCTCTACTAAATGTAGTTTTAGAAAAAGTTTTTGAACACGTAGGTGGAGCATCTATATCACCACAAAGAACCACGACGTCGGCAATGCTTAAAGAGCAGTTGTAAAAATCAAGTTATGAACTCACTTGTGGGATCCCAGACATAAGCATTATACATTATTTTCTGCTGATGAAACCAGCACTCACTGCAGTCATGTGGAAGCTAGCAACAATGACGAACAAAAGGATGATTATATCACATTAAATCATTCCCAGCTTGGTAGAATGGTTTTAATCAGCATTCATTGTTTAGTTAAGGCTAAACATAAAATTCTTAATTACTACACTAAGGGATAAATCAGGTTGCTGGTTCTGGCAGCGTAGCATAAAGCCAGGAATTTTTTATGCCTTTATATATAGTAGTTGACTACCGCTAACCTGATTAATAGTCTATTGAGCTGGGTTTGTATATCTATTAGCTTTAAATTACCCTTTTAAAAAGCAGAAACAAATACATCCAGCAAGTAATCAACACTAAAATACATCAACTCTGGCAGATAGGCTTTACAGCTATACATACAATAAACCCCCAAGCATTACAGCCTGGGAGTTCATTTTGGGAACTACCCAACTCTCCACTAACCCTGGAACTGGAGCATTTTCTCAAGCATCTTTCCCTCTATGCTTTATTCTCCTCCAATCCCACTGCTTTCACAGTCTGAATCCAAGGAACCACACTAAGGTCTATCACCAAGACCTTCAGATGCACAATTTTTTCTACCTGGTAACATTAACATTTGAAGCCACCGTGGCATGAGGCATCTGTCCTAGGCTATGCTAGCAAAAACGTACTCTCTGGTAATCAATACTACAAAAGGTGAGAGCTGATAGCTAGCAATTACAAGATTGCGTGGTAAGGCTGAAAAGCACTCCGCACGGATTCCTTCAGTTACAGTAGCAAGCCATCTATCTTGCACTCATTTGCACGTTTTTGGTTGTGGTGTGTTGTTTTTTATTCCATGTAGTGGATGTAGTTTTCAGGAGTTTCTATCTGTAAGTGGCCAGAAGACACATCCCGCAGTACCTGAATGACTAGGTCATAAATATATTTATGGCCGGTTGACAATGCACTCGCATGCCAAAAGAGATGCAAAATCAGCAGCAAAAAGCCATCAATGCATCTTCCCTTAATATAAGATAAGCAGACCAGGAGAAGAGAGATCTAGGTCACCTGGACATCCAGTCTTTTCTGAGGAGGTTCATGTTCACGCAGATTACAGTAGTCTACTGAAAAACAAGACTAATCTCAAGACACCTACACTTTTCCTGGCCTACGCACACCAAATTTCACATCGTAACCTCACCAGGCTCAGAAGAAAACAACAGAAGTATCTGTATCCCATATCTCCGAGTTGTATTACTTGCTAGTGATCACTGCCTTTCCCACGTCTCTGAAAGAGCCTTACTGTTGTTGACTTGTTCACACAAGATTTCCAAAGTACAGAGTAATGGCATCAAATCTGCTAGCCTATTTATACTGTTACCTTACTCCAAGGAGTAAAGTAAAGCTATTTTCCATAATACTGTCAAGTGAGGAAGTAAAGCTGCAAAATTTAGTTAAGAGGAAAAAAAGAAAAATTCTTCCACTAAGTCTTACTGAAAAAGAAAAATTCTTCCACTAAGTCTTATTAGCCAAGTTTTTACCTTGTTTTCAAGTCCAGGAATAGCAATGACCTTTGAGTGCAGTGAGGAAGAGAAACTGCTAGCCAGCCCACTTGTAATAAGCACCTATGGATATGCTTAACCAAGACATGGTTAACCAAAAACCCAAAGGTAATTACAGAGCATGTGGCATCATGGGACTCGCTCACTATAAATGCTAAGCCTGCAGATAAACAACTGAAAATTTCTAGAGAAAGACGCCAAAGTTTTGGCCTGTTTAGCATTCTCACGTCAAAAGCGACTTGTGGGAATTTTTCCATAGTGGATGTACTACTTGCAAGGAAAAACGAACTTCCAGTTGAAAAGGTACCACTTCAGCTCCACAGAAATTACTTATTTGTCATCAGATGTCTTTGTAAGCTCTCTTCTCCCAGCCTAATCCCACCTATTCCTCTCTTCCCCACTGCACACCCCATTTTCTCCCCTCTCATCCCCCCACTAATCCAGTAGCTACGTCCAACTTGCTGTTTGAATGACGTGATGGAGATAGCCAAGTTTGCCCTTTTTTGTAGTAGAACTGGCAGTTAAAAGGAACAACTTTCAAGAGGGAGGGAATCAACCCCTCGTCCCCAAAAGACCACTGAGCACACGTGGCTCAGTTGCATCGCTCAGGGGTACGACTAAACACTGCACAGAGAAGGAAAGGAGAAGGCAGGTGCATGGAAGATGAAGGATTTAGCTCCCAAGCTCTACAAAGGCGAGTACACGTGAACTATTTCAGAAGCTTTAACCTGGTCAGAGTATAGGAAAGATCATGAAGGCAGCAAGAAGTACCTCTCAGCTGCAAAAAACAGTGTCAAAATGCTGTTAGAGAGAATAGAGGTAGTGCATGTTCTCACAGCCATCAGAAACATTAAAGGGGGGGAAAGAATAATACAACTCTATTCTGAAGGAAAAAAAAAAACAGGACCCACTTTGATGCAGGTTAATATAATCTAATGTCACACACTCAATATAGAAGCTTCAGCCTACATGGTTGGTCTGCCAAAGTTACAAGCACTTGAAAGAGTCGTAAAGATGGTTTCATCCAAATACAGCCAAAAGGGCTGGTCAAGCCCTGCGATTTGTTTAAAAATGGCCATAAGCAGATGCTCAGGAAAGAATACAAGCAGAAAATATTTTATTAGTTCCTAACACTTCCAATCTCCAATTGGTTTCAGCTCAGGAGCTTCCTTAAAAGTACTAGGAAACTACTTTGAATGCTACAATGCAGAAACATTGAGGAACATGGAAAAGCACCTCTTACAAACCGTATTTGCAGGATTCACTGTATGAATTTTTAGGCAACAGCACACACCTTTGAATTAGAGAATACATGTCAACCTGCTACTGTAGTTAGAGGTTTCCTTTATCTAACACTTTTTGCTATTTTAAGACTCACTGTCTCATATCAGTAGTTCTGAAACAATTTCTCAGTTCCCCTGTATGTCACTGTGCTATCCTTGTCCTAGAATGCCACGGTCTCTTTTCGGCCTCCAGAAAGTTGAAAGACGTAACAGAGCTTTACAACTTGCCATAGCAATGCCACGCAGGTAGCACTGAGTAAGGAACATA